AAACCCTAAACCCTAAACCCTAAACCCTAAACCCTAAACCCTAAACCCTAAACCTTAAGCCCCTGGCCATCCTTGGTTGTGTTGCATCCAGGCTTTTGTTTGAACAGTGTATTTCAGTTGCAGCATTTCTCTCTGAAGACTGCCTCCTTAGGGTTTAGGGTTTAGGGTTTAGGGTTTAGGGTTTGTACCGGGAATGGTATCTTGTGCGTTGGCTGTACAAACAAACAAAACCCTCGAAAGATCGACAGGAACATCGATGTAGTGATCACGAAAAAAAGAATTTTGCGACGGGTCTAGAACCTCCAGCAAAGCTGAAGAAGGGTCTCCTCTGAGGTCTCGCCCCTGCATGCACAGACACCCCAAACCCTAAACCCTAAACCCTAAACCCTAAACCCTAAACCCTGAAAAGTATACGCCAAAAATAAAATGCTCGCAAACCAGGAATTCACCGCAAAACACTCACCTATAGAGCTAAACAACAAAGTCTAACATAAACCCTAAACCCTAAACCCTAAACCCTAAACCGAACCCTCTGTTAATCTCTTTCACCTTGGCGGTATAAGGCTAGAGATTTAGGGTTTACGAGTTTGTCTACTTCATTAAGCACTACCAAAGGATTCATTGTGTAGGGTTTAGGGTTTACGAGCTCGTCTATTTCATCAAGAACAATTAAAGGGTTCATTCTGTAGGGTTTAGGGTTTAGGGTTTACGAGTTTGTCTATTTCATCGAGAACAATTAGAGGGTTCATAGTCGCTGTCAATTTGAGGGCATTAATTATCTTTCCAGGCAGAGCACCGATGTACGTTCGGCGGTGTCCCCGCAGCTCCGCCACATCAAATAAACCCCCTAAACGCAAACCCTAAACCCTAAACCCTAAACCCTAAACCCTAGACGGGGAGGTTTACGCCCACAGCAGTCATGATTTACACCCAATGCACTAATCATCAACAATATATACAATATACATGCAAACCCTAAACCCTAAACCCTAAACCCTGTACCGATGAGGTAGTACGTTCATCCATAAGTATCAATGTTCCAGCGCGTACGATTAAAAAACTAGGGTTTAGGGTTTAGGGTTTAGGGTTTACCAAGCGAGATACGATAATATTTTCTCTTCAAAGCCCTCGCTATGCTCTCAGCCACAGATGTCTTCCCAACCCCAGGAGGGCCCAGGAAGCAAAGGATCTTCCCCTGCGCAGCAAACCCTAAACCCTAAACCCTAAACCCTAAACCCTAAACCCTAAACCCTAAACCCTACATATATGCTACTCGCCAAGAGTGCCGCTAAACTCCCGTTGCTCGCCCCAACTGCAAAATTTAGAGGATGCTCCCAGTACTCTAAACCCTAAACCCTAAACGTAGAAGAAGGTGCAGAACTGTTCAGGCTTAGGGTTTAGGGTTT